TAGAATTTTATAGCCGGTCGAATTTTCGACCAGCATGTCAATATTAGGCAAGGGGAATGCATCTTTGGGGCATGCCCGGTTAAGATCGGTATAGTCAACACACATACACCATTTTCCATTATTCTATTTAACAAGTACAACATTTGATAGCCAGGTTGAATACCGGGCTTCAGAAATAAAATTTTCCTCTAAGAGGTCTTTTATAGCTTTTTCAGCAGCCCCCGCTTTCTCGGGGGACTGCCTACGTCTATGTTGTACTATTGCCCTAGCGGCTGGATCAATGGAGAGTTTGTGACAGGTGACCTCGGGGTCGAGGTCGGGCATCTTCGCAGCACTCCATGCAAACAGGTCCACATTCTCCCTTAAGCAAGCCTTGATCTGCTTCCTCACCAGGTTGGGGAGTCTAGTGCCGAACGTTTGGATCTTCACCGAGAGGAACGAGCTCAAAGTCTCCATCTGGAATTGGTCGGAGGAGTCCCTGCTCGTCGTTGGGTGCTTCATCTTGGTCGAAGCGGGTGTCCAATGAGATTGAGTTGACCTTTGGAGGATCCCTCTGTTCTTCTGTCTTGACAGGCAGCTTCTCTGGTTGTTGTGGCTCTGGTCGTGCCGTAGCAGCTCTCTTGGCAGGTCACGCTCCATTGTCGATCGTGCTTTTTCCCTTGATCGACGCGTTGAAGCATCTTCGGGAAGCTGCTAGGTCGCCCTGGATGGTGGTGACGCGTCCCCTCTTTGTGTAGAACTTCATCTTCAGATGGACGGTGAAGGGTACAGTGGTCAATTCTGCCAGTGTCGGTCTCCCTAGGATGCATTTGTAGAGAGATGGACAGTCGATAACTAGGAAGTGTACCTTGACTTTCTTGGTGGCGGTATCCTCGCCGAAGGTGACCATGAGATCCACGTATCCCCAAGGCTTGGAGGTCGAGCTGTTGAAGCCTTGCAGGTCGGACCCCACGTATGGTGAGAAGTGGGAGTTGTCGAGTTGTAGTGTTCAGAAGAGTTGGTTGTACATCACTTCGATGGAACTCTCTTCGTCGACCAAAATGCGATGAACGTCAAAGTTAGCCATTTTGCCCTAACCAGAAGAGGGATAGATGAGTTTGGGGGCCCTCCGGGAAATTCTTCAAGGTAGAAGGTAATCGGCTCTGATATGCCATTAACCCTCTCAAAAATCACTGTTTGCGGGGGGGCACGTCGACCAGCTCGTCCAACTTCCTCTTTGCAGAGTTTATGGTTATATCGTTGAATCCCTCACCATTTATGACCATGGCGGAGAGGAACCTTTCCCACCTACTATGCGTGGTCAGAGGTTCTTCGATATCTTAGGGGACATAGAAGTCCTACGGTCTTGTAACGAAGAATGTCGTCTGGATGGGGACCGTCTCATCTGATGGTCGGGCATCCTCTTGAATCTCCTTCATGTCGCAGGCATCTCTACGAGGGGCGTCGCCGCACCGATATTTTCCGAGTCTCCCCCTTTAATGAGGGTCTCAATAGCATCTTTGAGATGGACGCAGTCTTTAGTCAAGTGTCCATGACTTTGATGATATTGGCAGTATTTGCTCTGATCAGCCCCGGGCTTAGCAGGAGTGAAGCAAGGACGCTTGACGCCTCCATCCTTGAAATCAGTGTTAGCACACTCCGCCAAGATGCGCTCGCAGGAAGCCTTCAGCGGAGTGTACTCGGTAAAGCGCCCCGAGGGTCCTCTTTTCTCGCGAGGATCTCGGGGTTTGTCATCCCTCCTCTTCTTGTTAGTTCGTCGAGGAGGGCCAGAGTCTTGTTGTCGTGGATTACTGGTTGATCCACGATTCCTGGAGTTCGGGCTTTGTTGGCCGCTTCCCTCTCCTCATAGTCCATGTAGGCTCTAGATATCTCGAGGAGGGCATCGAATATCCGCGGTGGTTCGATGCCAACGGCTTTTCTGAATTCCATTCTCGAGAGGAGTCCCCTCTCGATCAGGTATCTCTTCATATGATCAGTGCAGGGGACCTGGATGGCCACCCGGTTGAATTGATCAATAAATTCCCTGAGGATCTCGTCGTGTCTCTGGACAATAACCTCGAGGGCTGCTTCATTCTTTGGATGTCGATGTGAAGCAGTAAACGAACTGATGAACTGGTTCTTTAAATTTTGCCAGGAGGTGATTGAACCTGGCGTGAGGCTCTTATACCAATCCATCGCAGCTTTCTTAAAAGTCATAGAGAACAACTAGCATTTGATTGGTCCCCCAATGTTATGATAATGCAACATTGCCTCGAACCCGTCTATATGGTTGACTGGGTCGGCAATGTCGTCGTACTCCTTCAGATGGGGAGGCTTCTCCATGCCCGGGGGGATGGGTTCCTCCATAATAGCTTGTGACAAGGGACCGTGGGGGGTCGTCTTCGTCACTTCTATCTGGCGAGCGAGAAGGAGATTTGTTATAGTGGTGGTTATGATGGTGGCCCTGGTCGCGCAGAGCGTTCCTCGGGCGGTGTGGTTGCTCGTTATTTCCCCTGTTCCTGTTTTTAGGGGGTCTTTGCTCTTGACGCGAGGGGATATGATCGCGTCTTCCTGTATCTACGGGATGGTCCCTCTCTAATGCGAAGCGTCGCCCGATTGGTCAGGGAGAGGGGCTTCGAGAGGCATCTCGCCTGCGTCTCTGTGGGGGAGATTGGGGATGTTCCCCTATCTGGCGAGGAGGAGGGGAATGAGGCCTCGTGTGTCTTCTGGGGGCTCTCAGAGAATCTTCAAGCGCCCTCAATCTCTCTCCTTGAGAGAAGATCAGATAGTTCGTTTGGTTTATCGCCGCAAACAGTGCCCTGGTCGTGGCATTTGCTCCAGCGGGAACGGGGACCTCTTGGAACTGGTTGGGTTGGTAGTTCTGAGGAGGTGGTCGATCGTCTTCGAGTCGTCGGGATAGTGATAACGATAAGGCGGTCATCCCGTCTCTATACTCTGATAGGTCGGGTATGCCGGTGTGGTCGACGTTGATGTTGTTACCGGTGTTGAGACCAGTGGGATCAACATTATGGCCAACATGACCAGTGTTGTTAACACAGACGTTATTGTTGGCATCGGCGAGATGGACATTCATGTTATTTTCTGTTGTTTGATCAGCCATGATAGTCAAATGAGTGCAATTAGCTTTAGTCTTGTTTTGATGGAAGACGGAGAAGCAAGATTCTCACAGACGGCACCACTGATCGTACCTGACCAGAATGAACCGTCACAGCTAGCTCGAGCAGAAGTTGAGAGTGAGGTGGGGGGTACCTGCAAGACACTTTGATGCCAAAGTAAGTTCTGAAATGAGCAAAGTATGTGAGTAAGAAATGTTCAATACCTGACCCTCTCGTAGGAGAGGGTATTTATAGCCCCCGGCGCTGGGCCAAAGTCTCCTTATTGGACTGGTCAAGCAGGCCCAACGTGGAGACTACCAGGTCCTACGTGAGAGTGGGGACCCGCACGTGATCCCCAACCTGGATGACTTCCTCTGCAAGATCAGGAGGGTATGGATGTGATATTTCTGGGGCCATGAAGACTCTGTGATATCAGGGGATGCTGATAGTCAGCCTTACGAGGAGGATGCTCGTGAGGTGCTTCTGTTCGTCGAGGATGCCCTCACTGATCGCGAGATCGTGTGATAGGATCATTGTTGGTCGAGGAGAGAATTGGAACGTGACATCGAGGTCCTCTTGACCAGCGGTGACCTTCCTAAGGGTAACTGGGTTCCTCTTCGTGTGGTGAGTTGTGTCTCCTCGCGGGGAGTAGTTTCTGCCTGACGGTATCGAGGGCAGAATCGACCAACAAGGTTTGGACGACATAATTGGATTGAACCTCAAATGGAATTGGGCCAAGGGCAGACCCAGTCTAGAACAGAATTCAATTTAGAATTTACACAAAAACAACAATGATAACAATAAAATTGCATAAAACATCATAGTGCATAAAATAGTAATGCGTAAAATATCAACACCGAACTTTCTAACTGTTTACATTATATAGACTCTTATATTGACCGATTATTTAATAGTTAAATACTAAATTTGTCACACGTATACACTAATCAAATCCTTCATTTTCATAAAATCAACATCTATTTCTAAAGAAAACATTTGAGCTAATATATTGAAACTTAATAATTATGCATGTCATACACTTGTTCTTTTATTTCAATCATTTTCAATCAACGCATGTATTAGAAAGTTATAGAAATAAAATTACAATTATAATTCAATTTGTCTGTGTAATAATTTATAATACAATCCTAAGAGATAAGTGTTGTTTTTATAATTAAAGTTGTTTTAATTCTTAATAAAAAGAGTAAAAGTTTTAACAAAAAGTCCGCAGGAAAAACCAATCCCGCCCCGCCTCGACCCACTTTTTTAAACGGGTTAGATGGGACGGGCCAACTTAAGATACCGATCTGAAAACCTCAACCCAACTCGCCAAAAATAGCGGGTCAAACAGGCCAACCCGGCGAGCCCAACCCATTTTACCACCCCTTCGTAGGATAATGCTTATCTTTGCAATGTTGTGACTTTTTTTGTAAACACTTGCAATGTTGTGCCTTATGTTCATATTAGTGACACATCTTTTTATTTGTGATTTGCATGAAAATAGAATTAGTGCTGTCAATAACGAATCAGAAAATAACATGTTGTTCAAACTTCAAATTATGTTACACCATAACACCAGTCACTATTTAACAACACTTTTATTGAATAACATGCCACAAAACAATAGATCTTTGTTCAATTATGCTGTGCTAAACATAAAGTTATTTAATAACAACACACACACGTATAGAAAGAGAGAGAGATTGAATCCTGATAATACACAGATAAAATTGATAAATATGTGACTAAAATGTACTCAAGGGAAACATCAAATTCGTTCTATTTCGATATAAACAACAACAGAAACAAACTGATTAGTCATTTTTTGGTTCCGCTAAACAAAAAGTACAATACAAACAAGAGTAACAGAAATGTAAAGGTGTTTTCTTTGTCACATATTCCCCCTTACTCATATGGTATTTGGATGTATGCGGCATCACAGACAAAAGGGATATCGGCATACATACCAACAAGGGCGCACCTAATGCACTCTACGGTAGTAAAGAGAAAAAGAAAAAATGCAGTAGTCCAGAAATGCATTCCAAGTTGACCCCAATAGAACGAAGGTGGCATCCATCGGCTTACAATCCCGGTAACTTGCAGGGCGATCTCGATTAACATTCCAACGGCGACATGGAATCGGAAGAAATGAGGCCATTCTTTTCTCCTCACAATTGTAAGATATGCAATTAAGAAGTATGCTATGAGCGACCATCTAGGTAGACTTCCGATTGCCATGAGAAAAGGGTATGTATAGAATTCGAATATCTCGAGAAACGGGTGGAGATTGTATGCTGTCTGAGCATACATCCATACCTGATGGAAAGGTAAGAGGTAAGGGATGCATGATAGTGTTCTCCACCACCATCTTGGTTTTTTTGTCATCGGAGGGTACCGAAAGCCGGCAGATGAGGAATCCTTTGTTGCCCGAGTGGTGGTAGAAGACTTGTGGAGCGTAGGTAACATGGGGATAGTCCGAGACAGAAGATTCTGACCCCCGCTTAAAAGTAGGCTTGATGTGGCAGACATGTCGGAGAATGTCATTCCTATCACAGAAAAATTGATAAACAAATTCAGAAAAACGAAAGCAAAGTTTTCAAAGATGGTTACTGCCAAGACGAGACGATTTAAGCAATATAGTCAACAATTGCTATAGTCAGCTGATCAAAGTCATCAGATTGAGACCATACATATCACATTGTGACTTCGATAAATCGGAAACTGGGAATCTCAACATCTGATTTTTCTTAGAAGACTATGATCATTGACTGCACTAATAAACTATATAGCACTAACACTTCACATTGAAAAAGTGTCCGGTGTCACACACCAACAAACATGTTACATTCAATCACTTCCGTTTTCTAAAATAATAAGTAGCGTCAACATGTAAGTGTTGTGTTCAGCGTTTGTGTTTGTGTCAGTGCTTCATAAGTAGTGTTTCCATTTAAGTGGAGCTTGGCCGATAAATTTCTAAACATTATAGTCATACTCCCAGACACTGAGATTCTACCTAAAAGTATCATGTCTAGGAAAATTACACCAGGGTCTTTTTAACCAAACACCATATACAAGTAAACAATCATCTCAATTGTTTTAAATGTCATTGCTGAGCATGATAAAGAATAAACCCTCAAATATCACTATCCTAGTCAATAGTATACATACGAAAATCCGTCAAAATAGTCTCTGGTCTGCGGTTAAAATACTCAGGACTAACAAAGCAAATTTTCATGTAGTTCCGCAACTAACAGGATAAATATTCATATACTTTGGACACTGCTTATTACTCTCACATCCTTTAGACACTGATTAAGAGAGTGAGTGATACTTGAGACTTACTTCGATGGCAAATCTAGACCGGTGAGCTAAATAATTCAAATAGAGATATTAATGCACTATGAATCACCGACACAAACACCAAACACGGCACTCACGCTTCAACACCAATAATAACTTAAAGAAAATGAAAAAAATTGAATTGAATACATGTGCCAGTGTCGTGTTGGTATTCGACACTCAAACACCAAACACGCCTTCAATCTAAAGTGTCAATGCTACTTAACAAATGAAACTAATTGAATTAACACGTCACAATGTCGTGTTGGTATTCGACACCCAGACACCAAACACGCCTTCAATCTGAAGTGTCAATGCTACTTAATAAATGAAACTAACTACATTGGTCAGCGTGGTGTTGGTATCCGACAAAGACACCGAACACGCCTTTGATCTAAAGAGTCAACGCTACTTAATTAAGGAAAAATTGAAAGAGTTCACAAATTATACCTCTTGGCTTATTTTCCAAACTATGTCCCCAGAAACTTCGGATACTTGAAACAGCAAACTTAGCAGGAATTTGACAAGCATAACACAAGACAGAACCTTGGGATACAGTGCCACCATTTTGAATCATGGTTGATTGATTAACTAGTTCAACAAAAACCAAAACAAAATATTAAAATAAACAACAGCAACCATAAAAATTGAATTAACAGAAACATAGGATTTGGTAAAAAAAAACATGGATAGTACCTCGGTATTGATTCAAACCTGTTTGTTATTTGAAATTCGAAAGGTTACACAGTTTTGTTGTTCATGTTTAGGTTTATGGGATTTTGACCTTTCATTGTTTTACACAGTAAGAAGAAGATAAACTGTGCGTGTCTGAATTGGGCTTTTCTGTTTTTGTTCTGAAGAAATATTGGGCTTTGTATTTTGAACCCAAAGAAAAAGATTACTACATGCACCCCCTGTTCCTTCTCAGATACCTTTTAGTTTCATCATTTTATTTGATTTTTTTATTCATACACTATCCATAAATTTATTTTCAGAACTCCTTAATTCTTTGTAAAATTAGTAAGTTGTTAAATTTGTTTGAGAGTTTTGAGGAGAAGGAAGAAAAAGAATTTGATAAAAAAAAAAGATTTAAGCAAGAAGAATTTTGAAAGTTTTTTTTTATAATACAGTTTGGGGGATTCAAAATTTTTATTAAAGAAGCGTTTTTGGAGGTTTAGATAAAATTTTCAAAATCAAGTCTATATTTTTATAATAATCTAACTATTAAAAATATATTAATAATAAGTGATTGTTTATCATCCTATATAAAATTTCTCTCTTTAAAAAAAGTTAAAGATTTATCTATTTTTCTTTCTACTCGTTTTCTTTTAATTCCTTTGCCTCCAAACTATCAAATACTTTCTTTGTCACAATTATAAGTAAAAATATTACTTTCACAAGCTAGTTAAATGTAATTAATTAGATAAATATATATATATATATATATATATATATATATATATATATATATATATATATATATATATATATATATATATATATATATATATATATATATATATAAAGTAAAATTTACTATAATATTTTTTATTATATTTGATAAATCAACTATCAGTATTGTTGGAATATGTCTTAAAACCTTTGTTGATGAAGAGAAAGAAAACATGTTTTGGAGATTGCATATACTGCGAAAATCAAAAGTTTTAGAGAGTTGGTCAAAAAATCGGAAAAAAACATAAATCTTGAAAAATTGATTGGTGAATAGTGATGTATGTATGGTGAACAGTGTTGTCCGTACGGTGAATAATGATTTCGGGGTTTTTCAGATTTTTCCAACAGTTTCTTGTTTTACGTGTTTCAAGCTATTTTGGTTTGGTCTATGGATCCATATGTGACTGGAGTGTGATTTTGGGATTTAGTTGTTGGATATTTGCTATTATAAATATGTATCTCTTATATGTTTGCAGATGTGATAATCTTAGAGCTTACAACAACAAGGAAGAGCAGAGGTTTAAGATATAGCATATGATTTTGAATATTCTCAAGGAAACCTTAGAAAGACAAGGGGTTTGGGGAAACCTTGGGATTTATCTAAGAAAATTGAGAAACAAGTATTCTCAAGGAAACCTTAGAAAGATAAAGGTTTTGAGAAAACCCTGGAAGTTATCTAAGGCTATGTTTGGAAGTTTGGAGGAGAAAGGAGGGGAGGACTTTGAAAAATAGGAAGGATTGGGTGAAAAGAGTAGAAAGATTTTGCTTAGGAGGATTTTGGAGGGTTTGTTTTTTTTCAAAACACCAAAAATCTCCTAATTTGGGGGTGTAGCGGTAGAAATGTTTAAGACTAAGTCATTGGATTGACTAGACTTTATACAAATTAAAATAAAAATCGTCATCGCGCTTTATTATTTCCAAAGGAATGGGAAAAGAGCGAATAACCCAAAAAGAGGGGGAAAGATTCAAGGTAAGGGGGGTTGGTTATGCAAAGGGAAGGTATTAGCATCCTAAACATCTACAGTACTCCGCATGAGTCTCTTTGTAAAATCTGTATGTTTTGGCTATAAAAAATGTTGTATATAAAAAGTGGATGGTGGAGGTGAGAAAAGAAGCATATTTATTTTATAATTTTTGCACCCGACGCGGTTGTGAACCTTTAGTGCCTACGTACCATCTTTCGTTCAATAGGGGATCAGGGTACACGTAGTTCATCTTTCAAAAATATTTTGAAACATAGGTATATTAATTGATTTTATAAGATAAGACATCATCGACATTGTCCGTGTGGAGAAACATACTTACTACCCACAATCATGAGAAAGGAGAATTTGCATCATCTCAAAGTGGAGGATATGGCTTGGATTTTAAAATCAACAATGCCTCACTCATCACCCAAGTGGAAAATATCTCTCTTCACTATATATTGTAGAAGTATAGTTGTTTGCATCACTACAAGGATTGACAAAAGTCTAATCTTTTGAGAAAGGTTTTAAAATATATAGTCACAATGGCAAAATGGTTTAAAATGAGATTGATTAACTTTTAGTCTTCTCACAAAAAAAATGTCAAAATATTATTAAGTTGATTGGAGTTTATTTATGAAAATGTTTGAAAATGCATGGACATAAGTCCAAGTTTATTATAGAAATGGTTCAAGTTCAAAAGCAAGAAGAGTTTTCAAAAAAGGAGGAAGAAGATTTTTGAAATTTAAGAAGATGGGAGGAGAAGAAGATGTTATCCTAAAGCATAAGGTAAAAGCTAGGGGTAAGAACCATCTAACCAACAAGAAGTCAATACTTGACATTATGAGCCAAGATAGAATTCCCATTCCTTGGATTGAAACCAAGCAAGCAAAAATACTAGACCTCTTGAGAGAATCAAACTTCAAGTGTATTAAGTCTTCACAAAAATTGGTCAGAGTAACGGTTGTATACGGGTGAATTCCTGATTACAAACAGAGGGTGTAATCACAAAAACCTGCACACAAAAACAAACAAACAACCCAATGTCTTGAGGTGAACCTCAAGAACTCCAGACAAAAATAATCGGATAAGGTCACAAAGTCTCCAAGATAGGCCAAGGTTTCTAATTCCAAGTCCAAGAAAAGTCCCATGCTCCATAATGCCAAGGATAATAACCAAATAGTCCAAGTACCATTAAAGATTTTTTAGGGCTTATGTTGATTATTAAGTATCTTAAGAAAGTAAAAGAAAATCTCAAGTGAGCAAAGTAAAAATGGCAAGAAAGTAAATGCTCAAATGAGCAAAGATGAAAATGGCATGAAATGTAAATGCTAAAAGTAAATGGTACATAAAACATAAAAAAAATAAAAGCATAAGGTAAAACAAGTCAATAATCAGTGGTTAGTTGGATGACCATATTGAAGCTTGCATTTGGAACTTATTAAAGGATTGGTAGAATCAAAGCCTCCACACAATAAGTTGCATTTTCTTTTTGTCAAGTATATCATCCATTTGGAATTCTCATAAGTACCATTTAATGATCAATGATGTTTAAGTGATCTGCATTGACCAAAGGTGTTGTAGATCCATTAGAGGATTGGTAGAACCAAAGCCTCCACATAATGAATCTCAAGGTTATTGGATCAAAGAGATTAAACTAACATACTTGGGCTTGCAATCATAAGTTTGGGCCACGAATGATCATTTATTCGAATCGGGACAAAATTTAGCGCTATGTTAAGCAATCGTAAGTGGACTTATATAGAAGTCGCACCTATTTTGAGGCCGGTTAATAGCAATCTATGCACCATTTGTTTTGAGACATGATATAAAGATCATGCCCCAACAACATCTAGTGCAATAAGAAGGGGATGAGATGAAGAGGGATGGGAGAGAATGTACAAACCACTTTTGAATTAAATTTAATCAAACTATTATTAAAATCATTCATCCATTTTTGTGGAGTTAAACTCAATACCATGGATTCAATGATGTAAATAAAGTTCATGATCCAAAATTTAACCCAAGATCAGCCAGAAAATAGTCACAAAATAATATTATATTTTAATATATACAAAAGGGGTTAAAAAATAATGTTTAAAAATAGAAAATAAAGAGAAAAATATCAACCATGTTCAAATTAATCAAGAAATAAAAAGTAAGACCATAGAAAAATCAGAAAAAGACTCAAATAATTTTACAAATTTTTTGGTAATTTTTTAAAGTCAGAAACTATTTTTCAAATTAAAATAAATGGGTAAAATAAATAAAAATAGTAGAAAATAGTAAAGTCAGAAACAAAAATAAAATAAGGTCACAAATATTCGTCACAATATCATTGGATCATTCCATAATTTTTTTAGAATTTTAAAATGCATAAAAGTATTTTTAAACATTTAAAACAAATCAAATAAGTGTAAAATTTATAAAAAAAAATACCAAAACACAAAATTAAATTGTGAAAAAATAAAAATCAGAAAGAGAATAACCAAAAATATTTTTCATAATTTTTTTCAGATTTTTTGGACTAAAAATGAATTTTCTATGATTTTTTGAAATTTAAAACAATTAAAATATAAAAAATCAGAAAAAGAAAATAAAAGTAAAATATGTGGACCATTGGATGATAATCAAAACACGTTAGTAATCAAATCCAAGGGATCTGGCACGCTATGCATATCATGGTCATTAGTGAATATTGTACATAATCATTAATTAAATCAAAATTTGAAAAATACAGATGGCGCGCCTTCATTGGTTGGAAGATGACACGTTGGTCATCTTCAACCTCCAGCCATCACAAATTGCAGGTCTCTTAAACTGTAAAATCAGAAGCTCAGACCTATGTCATTCGCTTCGTCTCTTCAAGACGAAGACAACCACACCCTCGCGCCAAATTTATATAAATTGTAGCTCAAGCAATTTGGAAGGAAAGTTTTGAAAAGGGATTTGAAATTTCATGGTCAAAACGTGTTTCCAGTAAAAGGTAAGTGTTGCGACTAGAACCAAGGCAATGAGAGCAACACATTGATATCAGAGTTTTGAAGAATTGATGAAGGAATCTACCTATTGAAGTTGAGTTGCAGAGCTCTGAAACTGGACTTCTATGGAGAAGTATAGGGCACGATTCCTGAATGTAATTATGTGGTTAGCTTCAGGG